GTTCTATCGTCTGCTTTCGTCTCCACTTTCTGCCCCCACCCCCCCACCCCTGTGCCTCCGCCCATGAAGACAATCACAGCGTTTTGTTTTCTGTTCCTATAGAAACGACTACGGTCCTACAGTAACCCTGGATGTTGCGCACTAAGTCAAGCAGTTAGAAATGGGAAGGGGGGGGGGGGCGATACTTAACTTTAACCTTTCTTTCCATAATGCTAATTGAAATGGGCAATCTACTAAAGGCAGTCATGAATTGAAAACACTGCATTTTGTTTTGTTTTTATTTACTGTTTCTTAGTAGGTGGTTGGCCGGTGTTCTGATATGGTTTGCTCCTTCTTTCCTATCAAACATCTATTGTCATTTTTTTGCTCCTTCTTTTGCTTGCTCCTTACTCTCAAAAACCACCTCTAACCTTTGGCACTTTTAGTTTGATGTTATTGCTTTGAAAGTGCTGTAAAACTCTTTGAAATATCGCTCCTCCTTTTTTCCGTGCTTCTTGCTCCCTTGGAAAAGCCTCAAATCTTCGGCACTTATATGATCTTATTGTGTTGCAAGAGAAGTAAAATTCATACTAAAATATTTTTTTAAAAAATAGTCAAAGGACCGTTGTCTGATATTGATTGGGTCATGAACATAACACCCCCCGAAAATAGGGATACGGGACAAGAGAGAAATATCATCTAGAATCTAGTCTTTATCAACCAAGAATCACCCTTAAAAGAGACTGGGCTCTTTTTTGGGTACAGGGATTAGTAGTAGACAACTAAGAATAGCGTACTCATAAATAGATGACGTCATAACGCCGTTTCGTCACCCGTAACGGCCGTACTTTTTCCGTTTTCTGTCGGTAACGTCATGTACTGTGAATACTCTCGTTCCACGGGCATGTCCGCTCCGGTGAAAAGCCGTTTGAAGGTTTCCCGAAACTGTTTGCTCATTCCGCAGTAGATGAAAAAGTTGAGCGGATAGCTGAGCAGTATGAAGAAGTTGGAAAATAGGCTTAACGTCTGCAAGAGAAAAACAGTAAACAAGCATTAAAAAGAGGTATCTATCTATCTATCTATCTTTCTATCGATATTCTATCTATCTATCTATCTATCTATCTATCTATCTATCTATCTATCTATCTATCTATCTATCTATATATCTATCTATCTATCTATCTATCTTATTTAAGAGTTAAGTTCATAATTTTAAAAACGTTAAGAAAGTTGAATAAATAAAAAAAATTTTTTTTAATGAACAGACAATATCGAGTGCAAAAGAATGAAAAACAACAATCCAGGAACAATGAAGACTAAAAAGGTGAAAAACTCAGATGCAATAATAAGAAACATGTAGAAAGGAAAAAGAAAGAAAGAGAGAAAGAAAGGAAGAAAGAGGAAAAAATGAAAGCTACAAGGAATGAGGATGCTAAAAATTGCTTCATTCAATTTGTGAGGAATCATGATTTTCGTACAATTTCTTATGCAAAATAAAACCAGATACAAACTACGTAGTGTGTTTATGTTGTGCCCGTCTAGAGAACTCCTGTTCATTCCCTTGTGTCGAGAGACTTATTAACCAAGAGTTTTGACTGACTGGATATAGCAGAACGAAATGGCTATTCGGACTCGAGTCTGAAAAGCCTCCCGTGGCTATTCGGACTCAAACCTCAATATCGATTTCAGCATGACTTACTTATTGGTTGAGGATTATCCAAACTGACTCTTCTACTGTCATTTTGATATTGTTTTAAAATTTAATTCGCATTTTATTTGTCCCCCCAAAATGACAGTTTGAATGACTTTACTAACATTTTCAGCTGAAACCCCTGCTTCAGACCGTAAAAGGATTGCTGCTTGTCTAACAAGTGTATTGTTTAGTTCTGAATTAATTTGAACACCGAGTAAAGTATGCTATTGGAAAAGCTTTTCCTTTCGACAACTGTTACTTTGAATGACTGACTTTTGTTCCCTTTGGAGGGGTTTTTACCTTTCTTTTCTTAATTTGCAACTGGACTTCCAACTGTTCAATGATTTTATATTTCAAGTCAAATAAACCTCCGTTTAGACCCCCTATTGATAGCTATAATCCTTTGTTGTTCTGAAACTTTGATTTTCAATATTTTCACTGCTTTGAGCCCAGATTGCCGTTTCCCTGTTTGCTTTTTTGTGTAGTATTTCAGATTTTTGAAACTGTTGTTCACTTTTAACGTCACAAAGTTATACTTTCCTTAATTTGGGACGAACATTTTGGCTAGATCGTAATAACCGAGGAATTGCCTGTCCGCTTCACATTCGATAACCTACACCTAGATCTACACCCGGTTATTGCTCACGCGCATCGGAGTTTGCGTCCGAATAGCCGCGGGAGGCTATGCAGACTCGAGTCCGAAGAGACGCGGCCATAACAGAATGTGCAACGGCAGCTGGCGACCGTGAAGGATGGAGGGTCACTACTCACTACACGTCAACCTCTGAGCCACAGACGCTCAGCAGCAATGTCGTGTGATAAAAGTTTAATGTAAACCTGGATGGCTATTTTATATCAACCCGTTTATTCAGAGATCAAAGAAATCGACAGCCGTGCCTGTAAATCGGATAAATAACTGAGTGAGTCATTTTTTTTCATCTGCTGTATTTATTCCAAACAAAGCAGAGATAGACCTAGCATAACTTGCAAAGAGAAATAGATAACAGATAGATGATGGGGAGAGACAGGGATAATTGCTTTCAAGAACGTACAATGAGGTTGAATTTCTATCCGTTTGTTTTGGTTGGTAAGTGTTTTACGGCGCTCGCAATTGCATAAGGTGATATGAGCGCGCGGGACACATTTAACAATTAAATTTGTTAGGAATTAATTTTGAAGTTTGCCCGGGTGGCGGCCGACGCCTTGTAGTAGAAAAGCTTCAGAAAGAGTCGGGCGCCTAGTGCAAGGGGGGCAAATTGGGGTGGGTGCAAAAAGAGGAGACGAAAGCAGACGACAGAACATTGTTAGTAGAGAGCAGGAAAGTAGGAGAAAGGAGAACATTTTAGAAATGAAAATTTTCCATTACTGTCAGGTTTCAAACCCAGGACAAATTGAATCAGAGGCGAACCTCTGGACTACGAGAGCCCCAGTGGATAGATGGATAAATAGATAGATAGATAGATACATAGATGGATAAATAGATGGATAAATAGATAGATAGATAGATAGATAGATAGATAGATAGATAGATAGATAGATAGATAGATAGATAGATAGTGTGTCAATTTTTTCTCTGTTATTGTTTTTTTTTCATGATCGTTAACGTTTTCTGTTGTCACCAAGACAAGATTAGCTTGTGCTGTGCAGTGGTAAGGGTCTTTACCGTTGCACACGCAGGCGGTGAGTTCGATGCCCGGGTGGGGGAGCAATCTTTAGATGGAGTATCTCATCCTGTCATGTAGGATGTCGTATCCCACTCATCTTTTGCTGGCCCTGCCACGCGTTGTCCACGTAGCCCACTTCCTAAATGATCTAAATTGTGCAAATGGGGCCGTGACTCAATACAATTTGAAGGACGCGGCCAACTTCTACATAATCTGCTTTTTTCTGCTAACTTGAGCATTTGTTTTTTGGGACACCTGAACTGACATAAAGGTCTTGAACATCTAGGTCTCACTGACTAAATTGAAGGCAAGCAAGGCAGGGGTAGGCTTAGGGCAAACTACGTAGGAAACCTGAACAAATGGGTAACGGGGAAAGATCAGGGAAACGTAGCTTTTTTAAGAGCATCCGAACAAAGGAATGGATGGCGAATCATGATCGCCAATGTCTGCCCCAGATCTGACTCTCGATGAATGAATGAGTCCAACACAATATCATCAGACAGACAAGGGTGCGCCATAAATAATAGTCCATACTCGGGATTTGAACTCATGTCTTGCACTTGCCTCGACAAAGGGACTAACTGCTACACCACAGATGACAGCACTGTTTTTCCTTCAATGACTTGACTTTATATATTGTGTAACTAAAGTTCTGTCTCACCCATTATACTACGACAATTTTCACTAAAGAGTAAAAATTGCGGCAAGAATTAAACAGTATAACTTGTCTGACATATGAAACCCCTCGAGCATGTGGAGAGGAAGGAAATTATAAACCGGAAGTAGGACGTGGGCCAAGTACTGGTACTATTTTTTTCACGATGTACAAGGAATTGAACGCATCTAAGATACGTGGCTTGTCAAGGGTGAATACTCGACGTCTGAAATGGATTATTTTCAAAAACCACGTTCGAAGCCCGTTCCATCTAAGTGTAGAGACTGCCAGGTACTTCGGATTGTCTTAAAACACCATTATTTGACTTTTTAAGTGATCACGGAAAAACGTGAGTATCGCCCTTTATGTGGAGCCTTTCTAACCCTTTCGAAGAAATCGACAAATTTGGGCGAAACAACATTGGCGCTGGAACCAGAGACGTTGGTATAATGTTTTGTTCTGCAATGGTCAAGGTTTTTAATTCGTCGCATCAACGGACGTGAACAAGTGTCTAAAAAAAGAGGCTAGACATTTCACAGAGCAAGCGCCCGCCACATTGACCGATTCGGTGGCTGAAGTATCATTGTTTGGGACGGAATCTCTGCTCTTTATTGTCCACGTTTTGTCTTTGTTCAAAGCAACCTCAGAGGGCGACTATACTGTGAGAAAATTCTTCATCACGGTGTCCTGCCCTACATAGCACGGATGATGAAATGTGCAAAAAAAAAAACCCACAGATGACAGCACTGTTTTTCCTTCAATGACTTGACTTTATATACTGTGTAACTAAAGTTCTGTCACACCCATTATCCTTGTGCGCTATTTTCAGTCAAGACTCTCTCCAAACTCATCATATCAATGTTTTGGACTGGCCTGCAAGATCAACAGGCCTTAACCCAACAGAAAATCTGTAAGATGGCCTTGACTGGATGATTAAAAACAGGTCGCACCCTGTGCAAACTCGTCAGGAACCGAAGGCTGCACTTCACAATAAATTGCAGGGGATTCCTCGGGCAATCATAAGGATATTACTTCAATCAATGAACAGACGTTTTGTAGCTGTAAATTTAGCTGGAAGAGGCCATACGCAATACTGAGCAAACCTTGACTTCGATTGGTGTGAATGAAATTATCTCCCTTGAATAAGGAAAGACATTGGGGAATTCTTTTTCTATGATGTTTGCAAAAAAATAATGAAGAACATGTGTGCAAAATTTCGATTGGCTATGTTGATAAGCAAATGAATTTTTTCACTTTTAAGGTGGGTGTGAAAGAACTTTTGCAACACGGTATAGTTATGTATATATATA